TTCTAATGGAATTGCCTCCTGCTGAGCAGCAGAAGCTCTACGATGAAGCCAGTGCTATTCTCAGGCACTTAGACTGGACTGATGTTGCTCAGCTGACTGCTCTGGTGATGGGGAATGCTGGTCTCCAGCAGAAGTTGACAGCAGTGCTAATAAATTACTTCTCCAAAGAGCTAAGAGCAGAAATACAATACGGAGAATAAACCTTTCCAGAGCTGGCTTTTTACAATATAATGAATTTTAGTCTGACAATTTTGATTGTTCAACACATAGCAATTAGTAGTTATCAATACTAATTATTAATATAGGAAAATATCAGTATTATTTTGGAGTTGGGGGCTGGGGTTTTGTGTTGGATTTTTTTGGTTTTGTTTTTGTTTTTGTTTTTTTTTCTAAGGATAGTATTAAATTTCTGCATCATCCTGACACTGACTGACTTGCTGTATAATTTGGAATGCATAGCAAGTCTGCACTAGTACTGAATTCAAAGCCAGTGAAGGGAGTTATGCTTCTCTTTCTCTAACGTATCACTGGTTAAAATTTTCAAGGTCAATGTGTTTTATGTAGGAGATTTAATCCTGTTTGTGTAAGTGCTTTAAATTTTGTCTGTGAAGGACAAATAGGTGCCAAAGGAGCTAGGGCACTTAGAAGAATTTTACTCACTGTCCATTTCAGTCCTGCAAAGGAAAGTTATAAGAAAGCACATTATTTTACTGTGAACTTAAAGATCTCAATCCTGTCTTTATTTTTTTGTTGTTTTCCTTGTAATTATTGACTTATTTATTCCTTTCTGTAAGAAGTGAAGCCAATGCCTAAGCAAGATTTAAAGCAACAGATAAACAAACTGTGCACAATGGGGAAGCATGGCAAGAGTACTGTATTACATTTTTTTTTTAAAGGGAGCTGAATCTTCTACAATCCCCAGGATTAGGTTTGTCATTTCAGCATTGGTTTGTTGACTGAATCTGAACAGCTGGTCCTCTGTTTTCATTAAAATATTTATAAGAAGCATCCTGTTGGCCTGTGTTTTGCTTTAAGGTAAATGAACTCTTAAGAAGGGGGTACTGAAATCTGAGATAGAAGCCAACCTCTTCCTGCAGGGCCAGGCCAGCAGCTGGCAGTGGTGCTGTGGGGTGATATGTCAGCTGCACTTCACATTGTCAGATCCAAGTGCAGTGTTGCTCAATGTCCTGGCCAGTTGTTCATGACTTGTTTCAAGGCACTTGTAAGACAGGATCATAAGCAGAAAAATGTGCAGGTATGCCTTCTTTTATGTGTAAAAACAGGTGAAACTGATTGCCTGATTTCATTTTTCCCTTGAAGTAAATACATATCTCTCTGTGTGTGATGTGAATTTTATATGATGAAGCTTGAAACTCAGAAGCTGCTGTTGTATACATTTGATTAATTTACTTCTGCAGGTGCCATTAGCCATTTATAAATTCATTGTACTTTCCTGCCTGGAGTGCAAGGCAGTGATTGTTCTTTTCATCCTCTTAAAACACTTTTTCAGTGACTTGAAAGACAGACAGAAGTGAATGGTAAGTGGGAGCTCCTTCCTCTGTCATAGTTTTGTAACAAGAAACCTGAAATCAGTGCTTTTTCACTTTCATTGGGAGATTACACATGCTGCAACTGGCTTTTTAAGACTTTACATACTCTGTATATCCATTTTAAAATACTGTTCTTATGGATGCAGTTACTTTTATTTGCAGTTTTCACGGCAAATGATTTGTGATTTCACAAACTAAATTCACTAAAAAAACTCTTTCCAAAATAACACTCTGCTAACAGCAGCAGATGATTGAATGATATAATAGGATGGAGCCTTCCATTTTATAATCCTTATAAACTGTTCAAACCCAGACATGAAAAAAGTTGATATCTGATTGTGAAGCAGGCCATAGGAAGGATGTGGTTTGAGTTTATTTACAATAGTATCCAGTATTTAAACAGATCATGTAGAAGTTTCAGAGTGTTTCAGACATGAATATCATGACTCCCATTTTACAGATATTCATAAATATGGGCCCAAACCTAGGTAGGTAAGTGATTTTCATCACTTGTATCAGTGTAATAGATGTGAATGGAGCTCACCCATGCTGTCCTCCCCTATGTTACTCTTGTTTTGTAGGGTATTCTTTCAAATGCTTTTTATCATGCCCTTAGAAGTGACATATCAGGTAGAACTATGATGTTTTATATGTGGTGTAAAAGGGGCATGTGTTAAATAGATACCAACAGATATCAGGTCTAAGTAGTTTGAAGTTCTGTATTGGCCAGTCTGGCTTATGTTAAACCCCACTGCTACTGAGCTACCAAGAAACTCTGTATTCTCTGCCACAGAGGAACATGAGCATGCTCTTAGTCATAATAAATTGAACTTTGTAGACTTTCAGATGACTGGAGTAAAACCAGGAAGAAATTAATTTAATTCTGTTTGTTCTGTTTTGTTTTTTAACAGGTTTGATGCTCATGAAACTTCTTGGAAGGTGGCTGGTACCTCTTTTCAAAGTGGTAGCAATAGGTTTGCAGTTTGGTATGAAACACATTTCACCACTGGTAATGGAAAAAGAGAGTCCAGCTCACGCGTTCAACTTGAGTGACTTTGAACATAAAAGAATTAGGAACTAACCACTTCTGATGGTGGAGACCCTAATTCCTAACTACCAAGGGAGAATGACCACGGCGCCCCACAATCATTTTGCTGGTTGTGTTTTAGTAGTTTCTGACAGTCCATACTGTTCAATGCTGCAGAAAGGTCAAATTCCATCTTCACTGCTCCAACTACAGCCATTTGGTATCCTGTCAAGGTCACCATGACATTTGGTAGGTAGCCTTATGTGGGGATTTGGGCAAGTTAAAATAACTCTTTGGCAGATTTCATCATCTGAGGAAAAGACCAGCTGCACAAGAATGTACCAATATGCATGTGTGGCTGCTCTTTGGTAGAGACATGGTTCTCCACCGCTGCGTCCCGTGGCGGAGCTGGAAGCAGCCCCAGGCAGGGGATGGCATCTTCCAAGGTCCCTTCCAGCTGCATAATAGCCAGGCTGAGTAAGGCACAGCTGTTGCCTAGGAAACAAGGCAGTGCCCTGCCAGCAGCTTCAGGAAGCAGCTGAAGGAGTCACGATGGGGAGATGTACATATTTATATAAAGAAACCATCTGTGATGCTGGTTATTAACCTGGCTTGGTTGTGGATATGACAGAGTCAAGCTGGACTCTCACTGGCAGATGGTGTATTTTTAGTTAAAAACTTTATTTTGTGTGTGTTTTTTTCTAAGCTATCTGATTTCAAAATAGAAAGCAGGCATGGTGGTACAGTGTCATGTTAGCAAAGAGAGGGCATCTCTTTTTTTTTTTTTTTTTTTAAAAACAATCCTGAATTCAAACGGATATTAACTGTAATGTGCCATCTATTGGCAATTAGATTCTTAAATTCAGCCATCAAGACTACCTCATTATATGGATAATACATTTCTCTTTTTCTGTGAAAAGTAGGCTTAACTTCTTTTTTTGCACTTACTCTGTTAAATTTCTGGCTTAAGAGAATTTGTATTAGATTAAGAATATGAGCCCAGCTACAGACTAGACTAGAATTCATATAAATTGCCTGCAGAAGTTGTTTTTCCAGGGACTATTCTATGTGAGCTATGTGAGCACACATATTTCCTGCAGCTGCATGTCACATTAAATTCTAGGGAAAAACACAGCCGGGCAGAGAAGTGTGTTTTCACCCCCGTGGTTACTGAAGGACAGTGGATTTTGAGAGCTGAACAGCAGCCAGTTTGCAGGGAGGGGCGGAGCGCAGGTGCTGGGCAAGCCGGCGAAGAGTCGTTGCTGTTCCTTGGGGGGCCGTGTTCCTTTGTGCCGTTTGCTCACCCTCGAGTCTGCCCCCGCAGCAGCTCTGCCTGGCCCCACACGGCCTGAGGAGCGGCGTTTGCTCCCCGTGCGACCGGCCGGGCGT